AACGCTAATTTAAGCATAAGCGTCAGACTGTTCATCGAACATTAAACATAAAAAATCTAAAGAAAATATGAAAAGAAAATTGTAAAAATGTCTACTCGGTAGGCCTCATTTTTTCCTGTCAAAATCTCTAGAATCCAGGAGCTTCCGGGGGCTTATTTATTGGTTGCATGTTATTTTGTTGATCAGTTTCAAATGATATCCTACTAAATTTATTATGGATTAGACACGGTGTCTGTTCAGGTCCATTTTTTGCTTTTGTTTCATCATCCTTGACTTGTTTCTTGCAAAAATGTAAAATAAATGTTTTACACCACTCCCGACCCGAAGATACCAAAGTCACACTGATATAGTCAGTTAAAGTTTATTTTAACCATATATTTTAAACGAATTTATTTTTTCTCAATAAAACTAAGTACTTTTGATAATTAGAGTGAAGAATTGTATTATCCCCTCCCCCAAATACTTAATACTGGGACAGGGCTGGTAGGACTGATCTTGACACCCCCTTAACAATGCTTAAAGGGGGAGGAAATAAGCACCTCCTTCAAATTTACCTGGTTTTAGAACCCCTGTCATTCATCTGAAATTAAGCCTGGGATTGGATACTTTGATTTGATTGACATTTAGTTTGCTGCTGTTGTGAATATCTTGTGTACCTTGTCTGGAGATCGAACCGACCATTGAATTAACTTTCAGGCTTTTGATGCCTACCGCACTGTATGCCAACGTGATAAAGAAGCAATCAAATCGTTCTTTTCTTTTTTAATTCATAAGAATATGCCATAAATATATTCCATCTATCAAATAATTAAATAAATGACAAGAAAAACCATGGCTATATAATATATTTTATATAAATTTAATTTTATAAGGGAGGATTTCATATCACGATTACAATCGATAATTTTAATTTCCGTGTCAAAACATGAGTTAATGTACATTTATTCCTCCATTAATTAACAAAATAAGCCGACCTGCGTTTGAAGCTAGTATCATGGAATTAAATAAAATTATTTATTTTAAATAAGTATGACAACATTGTAACATAATTCTAAAGTCAAGCGAATTTCCATTTATAAGACACACCTGTAAGTGTCGTTTTTCTTCGAGACATGGTTACGAAGTTACAGTATAATAATAAGTTTTAGAAGAGAAATTACTCGGAATATAATATCTTGCTTTGTATTTAATATTTGAAATTAATGATAAATCCCGAAAGAAAAAAAGATGCAGATGATTCCATTCCCGTTTCACCCATAGCTGTCGGGGAATTTCACCAACCCCGGTCTGAAGCCCTGGCCATTTTTACAGACCATGCGTTATGGAAAAATTAAGTAGGGTTTATCTTAAAAAGATATGTATTTAGACAATAATATTTCTACTTCAACATTTTATTCTCAAAACATCGTTTCTAAGTTTCATTGCTATTTACCAAGAGACTGTTTTGTGATTCACTTTCTTCTTTCGTTTTGCGTAGACGACGTGAAATTTGAATTACTTCCCTTTTTGTCGCCAGATTACAACAACAGATTTTGGTGCTATTAAAATGTATTTTCGTTATAACACTTCATTAAAAAAACACACTGTATATAAAAATGTCGAATTATTAAAAATATCAATTATTTTAAAAGAAAGAAATTGAGAAGGATTCTGTCTGCAACAAAAAATGCTTTATTTCGCATTTCAATTCATGAGCTAAACATGAAAAAAAAAATGGCCTCGGTTTACAAAGTCGTGGGAAAACGCATACAGGTAATACACTCAGGTAACATCCTGTGTATATAGGTAGTAGACACAAGCCAGCAAGCTCCACCCCACACCAAACTTACCTGAGGTAAACCGTACGGTTGAAAACCTCGGCCTTTAAGTAAAGCACAATAAATTTAAATGGCTGACATTCCATTTTAACAAACAAAAAGAATCGTGTTCCTTCGCTTTCGGGTCTAAGTGGATGGGATGCAGTTATTAATGGGATGCATATAATGTGTCAAATTTAAATGCCATGACATTATTATAAGCATTATATGATATACCATCGTTCTGGTTTTTTCTTAATGTAATCCATACTCTTAATCCAAGAGTCTAATCAGTTCTGTTTTGCCAAAATAATATGAAGCTTTTAGTTGTTGTAAATGAACATTTATTAGTACAGTGTATGCCAAACAAAAATCGCCAAATAAGGACCGACAAAAATTAGAAATGACCATATTTGAACGTATTCGTAATTAAGATTTAACAAATATAATAAAAACCTAATTTAAGATTATGATTAGGAAAAAAATGGCCTAAAAGATGTTACAAATTTTTAAAAAACGCTTTTAAACACTCAAAACTAAAAAAAACAACCTGAAACGATTTAACATATTATGTTGGAGTATTATAAACATACTAAAAATTAGAATCAATTTTCTACTAATTATACGGATAGCTACAGTAGAATAAAAACTTAGTCATTGACATATGAAAAAACAGTATATTTAACATGAGCCTGGGTGTGCATATCAATTGATTTACTTATGAAGAGGTAACATGTGAAAACATTGTTCAGAGATAACCAATAAATACGTGAGATCAAATTACCGATAAATGTTGCGAGTGACATTAAAATATCCGGAAAAATGAGTAAAATATAATTAATCGATAGATGGTGTAAATTACTAATGTTGCACATCAATTCAATTATTTTATTGTCCTCTTTCATTTTCTGATTAAGTATACCATATTCCTGAACCTCTTTTCTGAATTTATATGCTCTAAATATTTTTCATTGTCTTCGATGATGTAACATATGTTTTATATGTTCTGAGTGAATATAAATTAACTAGAACTTGATATCTACACACAATTCTTTTATATGATCAATACCTGTAATTCTTTATCAGTCGAAATCGTGTACGTTGATACAGTAGTGTGGTTACAGAAACTCTTACATCAGAAAAGGGATCTATAAGAGGAGTACTCCGTCTTCCCTTTTTGAAATCATGTAAGTATGTGTTATAGAAACAAAAAACAAAAAATCGCAAAAATGTTGACAACTGATAAAAGATTTTTATATTAGGGTCAGACTCATACAATATCAGTGTTCACAAAAACACACGATTCTATACAGAAAAGATGACAGACGCGCACATGAAAATATTTTAAAACTAAGTATTAATTAGATATCAAAATTTTAAAATTCCTTTAAACAGAATGAATTATAAATTTATTTAACTATGCAGGCCCTTCATTATCACGTCTTTATTAGGATTATTACTCTATCATTGTCCAGGAAAGGGGCACGGCGCAGTTGTGCAAGGTATTCTCAATAATTTTGCCGATATATGGTATGCTATAAAACAAAGGTACTTCATGGATTTACTCCTCAATAATAATGATCCCTTCGTTTCCTTGTCAAGGAATGTTTTCTTCGGTGTTATTTTTTTTTGTTTTTTTTGTTTTTTTTTTTTTTTTTTTTTTTTTTTTTGTTAAACCTCCTTTCAAAGATTTTTCAATCATGTCGAGAATCACCACTCTCCGGTAGAGGGCTTCAAAGAACAAGGTTCATTTGACATTATATTTGGCCCTGAGAATTTCCAAAACTTACATTTTAAACTGAAACAAAACTTTGAAATATTAGACTTTTTATAAAGATTTCTATAGGAACAATTCTTTAAACGGCATAACAATAAACGTTAGATATCTCGTATATATATTTAAAATGAGTCTAATCAATGGTTAATATCATTTAATCCTCAGAAAATGAAAACTAAACAATTAACAACAAACGGTATCAAATTCTATAAATGAATGGACAAAAGAAAGCTGAAGTAATAATAATAATAATAATAATAATATCACAACTTAAGCACTTAAAGTTACATTTCTCAGACAATGTCAATAGTAGCAGGACGAGGGTTGTTCAATAAATAATGCCCTCGGTGCTCAGAAAAAAAAAACAAAAAAGTTTTTTTCAATGATTTAAAAAGTCTTAAAATATCACAGTTCTCTTTCTAAGGAAAAAAATTCTTCAAAAATATGTGTCAAATTTGAATATTTTTAATATCCCAAAAAACGAAATTGAATTTGAACTACGATATATTCCGAAACTTCATGAGAATACTTACAAGCAAAGATACATAGCGGGTTCTAGTAAATGTTCAACCAAGTCTCTTTCTTTGCTTCTCATTAAGATAGTAACAGTAGTGAAGGAGAAACTTCAAGAATACATTGCAATATATTCAAAAAGTGGTGAAAATCAGATGTGGATACGTATAAATCTCAAGGAACTCTTGGACAATTTGAAATTACAAGACTTTACCAAAATCAACAGTTTAAAGACTTTTCAACTTGATACACAAACTTTCCCCACAATAAATTAAAGGCATGGTTTTTGATATCATTGATACCTGTTTTAAAATAAAATGGAACTCATAAATTTACTTACCTGGATACTGGTGGCACTTCACCCGAGTATACCCGATAGACCGGACGCATTTCATAGCGGTCCGGATTCTTTCTTTAATAGTGTTCTTAAAAAATTCCAAATCAACATGTAACTAAGTATGTAAATATATAGTGTTTAGTAGTAGTGCTAGTTGTTTTTTTGTTTCGCTTTTTCCTTTGTTCTTATGACTTTTTAACTTTTTTCTTTGTCCTGAGGAAGGGACAGGGCGTCCCGAAAATTTGACAATTTTTATTGTTCGTGTTGTTGGTCATTTTTAGTGCTTTATATAAATTTCGATCCGTGACCTTGTATCTACTTGATAGATCCGACATTTAGAATATACAGTGTTCTTGGTTTTTAGTGCTTTATATATATATATATATATATATATATATATATATATATATATATATATATATATATATATATATATATATATATATATATATATATATATATATATATATATATATATATATATATATATATATATATATACAGCACTAAAAATGACCAACGACACGAACAATATAAATATATATATATATATATATATATATATATATATATATATATATATATATACATCGGGATTCGAAGCTTAAAATGAAGATTTAGGAACTCAATTGCTTTGAAGCTTACAAATTGATTGAATACAGCGTAAGTTTTAAAATTTATATATATATTTTTTTTTATTATTTTTTTTTTTGTTTTACATATGACAAGCTAATTCAGATAATCTCTGCCCCCTCGCTTAAAGGGAAAAAAAGAGCATGCATGATGGGGGGGAGTGGGGGTGTTCGGATTGAAGGGATGGTCATGACCATTAACAATGATTAAGGAAGTCATGGTATGAAAGCTTCTTGACATATCACCCTGAACTGAATGTTTTACACACAGACAAAAGACCAAAAATTTTCTTTACCTTTGGAAAAAACTCAAAGGTTACTCGAGATATCGCGCTGAAACGACAGAGAGATAATAAACAGACGGACGAACGGCCAGGCAACCGAAAAATAAAAATTCCCTATAGCTACTTTCACAGAATGCAAAATAACACGTAGTATCATCTATCAGAAAAAGAAATAATGTAAACTATTTACCCCCTTAATCATTGCGATTTTTATGCGCCTGAATCGAAAGATCCGAGGCATTTATTGTTTTTGTCCTGTCTGTCTCTTTGTCTGTTTATCTGTTTGTCAGCAAACTTTAACCTTCGCCATAACTTTTGAACCATTAATGGTTGAGACTTCATATTTGGTATGCATACTCCACTGATTTTAAAGTTCTTTCAAATGACACCAAGATCAATGACCTTTTGACCTTGACTGTGACCTATATGCTAAAAAAAGTTTTTTTTCTGCAAACTTTAAGCTTCGCCATAACTTTTGAAGAAAGAAAGATACAGACTTGATATTTGGCTTGTGTACTCCACTAATTAAGTCCTTTCACATGACACCAAGGTCAATGACCTAGTGACCCTGACTGTGTCCTATATGCTAAAAATAGCTTTTTTGAACCTTTATCATAACTTTTGAACCATTATTTGGTATGCATACATGTACTTCACTAATCAATTTCTTTGTGACCTTTACTGTGACCTATATGCTAAAAATATGTTTTTTTAACATTGTTACCGCGGGGTGCATAGTGTTTCAGTATGAACAAAGTGTTGATATGTTCTCAAACTGATACATAATTACAGAATCAGAAACAAAATGGAAATTACATCTACAATGGATATAGGAAATTGGAAAAGTCACTGGAATGATTTCGTCACATTTTTCAATGACAAAGGTATTGATCTTTCAACATTAAAAGGAATGGATGCATTTTTGCGTGAGAATGGTTTAGACGTTTCAAAAATTAATCAGGAAATGGCTTCCGAAGAGGGTATAACAGGAAAAGCTGATGCGATAATGGGATGTTTGTGGTCTTCGATTGCAGAGTACAGGAGTCAGGGTGACCTCATGAAATCGTCAATATCTTTCCTCTTCTCACTAACGGGTCATCTCGAGTCAGTTATTCCTTACTCTGCTCAGCTTAATAAAGTTTCTCCAATTGTTACAACTTTCTTGAATCTTGTTTCAAAGGAAAAAGACACCGTAAAAAAGCTAGCGGAGGAAGTTGAAGCTGATGATGCTGTGAAACATGAAATTGCAGGCATAATAGAAAAGCTGTCCACTTCTCAGATACATGTTTGTGCGATAAATGACCCAGACGATATAGACACGAACGCAATACAAGTCATGACAACTAATGTTAACATTGACATTGGCGTGGAGCACATTGGAAATTTGAAAAGTCGGATTGAGAGTCTGATCTCATGTGATATGGACAAATCACTTGCTGAAAGTTGTTTACTGTACATCGATCTGTTTGTGAGAGTTTCTATGCTCAGGCAAACTTTACTTCTGCAGATGTTGACAGTACTAAGATCAACGAATTACAGTCCACAGACAGCTACAGCTATAACAAAGGTCATGGAAAAGGACAGTTCCCGAGCCAGAGAGTTGCTGAGGTTTTTGGAATCACCAACCATTGAGAAATCAGTTACACTTTTTGCGTTTTTCGACTTTGGTGAGCAGAAGCATATTGTACGTTTTGCTACCGAATTGAACTTAAAGCTGCAAGATCTTAGTGGTAATTTTGCTAATCAAGATTTATGCATACAACCTTGTGATGAAGAGAAAGGAGAAGAGTACGTTCTTTCAAGACCAATGCCACGATTGTCCAAGATAAAGGCACTTAACAAGGTTAAACGTGACACAAATTCCACTGACGTCCTTTTTCGCTTCGAGTTTCTCCCTGGTTCCCAAAACCGTTTTTATATTCGGTCAAACGATGGTAGATTCTACGTTTGGATGAAAACAGATAGATTTTGCAAATGTTGTGAGCACAAACCAGGGGACGATGGAGAATGGATAATTGTAAGGGCTGATGGGAAGGAACCTTTTTATCTCTTTTCTCCCAAGAAATGGCCAAACCGATTTATTTATTTAGACAAAGGAATGTTTGAAAGTGTCAGAGGTCTGGATGACAAGCGTACCTGTGGAACCGTAAGGCGGTGTTTATTCAAATTGGTAAGAAAGCTTCCTAGTTCCTACACATCCAGTATTTCATTTAGGACCCACATTATTATACCCGCACTTTCTAAAGAAAGTTCGGGTATATTGTTGTTACTCATGTCCGTCCGTCCGTCCGTCTGTCACACTTTTCTTCCCTGAACTCCTCTTACATTTTACACAGTAGCTTAATCATCTTTTGGGAGATGGTTGGTGGTGTCATGTAGATGTGCAGTAAGGTTTCGGAATTTTGATTTTGCCCCGGGGGGTCAAATGGGGGTCGAAAAATGACGTTTTTTATGCAAAAAGTCCCGTCTTCCCTGAACTCCTTTTACATTTTACTCAGCAGCCTAATCACATTTTGGGGGATGATTGGTGGTGTCATGTAGATGTGCAGTAAGGTTTCGGAATTTTGATTTTGCCCTGGGGGGTCAAATGGGGGTCGAAAAATGACGTTTTTTATGCAAAAAGTCCCGTCTTCCCTGAACTCCTTCTATATTTTACTCAGCAGCCTAATCACCTTTTGGGGGATGATTGGTGGTGTCATGTAGATGTGCAGTAAGGTTTCGGAATTTTGATTATGCCCCTGGGGGTCAAATGGGGGTCGAAAAATGATGTTTTTTATGCAAAAAGTCCCGTCTTCCCTGAACTCCTCTTACATTTTACTCAACAGCCTAACTATCTTTTGGGAGATGGTTGGTGGGGTCATGTAGATGTGCAGTAAGGTTTCGATATTTTGATTTTGCCCCAGGGGGTCAAATGTGGGTTGAAAAATGATGTTTTTTTATGCAAAAAGCCCCGTTTTCTCTAAACTCCTCTTACATTTTACTCAGCAGCCTAATCACCTTTTGGGAGATGGTTGGTGGTGTCATGTAGATTTGCAGTTAGGTTTTGGAATTCTGATTTTGCCCCTGGGGGTCAAATGGGGGTCGAAAAATGATTTTTTTTTATGCAAAAAGCCCCGTTTTCTCTAAACTCCTCTTACATTTTACTCAGCAGCCTATTCACCTTTTGGGAGATGGTTGGTGGTGTCATGTAGATGTGCAGTAAGGTTTCGGAATTTTGATTTTGCCCCAGGGGGTCAAATAGGGGTCAAAAAATGACGTTTTTTGTGCAAAAAGTCCTGTCTTTCCTGAAGTCCTCCTTAATGTTACTCAGAAGCCTAATCATCTTTTAGGAGAGTTAAATATTTTGAAAATTATGTAAAACATCAACGTTAAAGGGTAAAAAAGCATCGCATACTGGGAAACACCTTGAATTTTTATGAGTAACAAGCAAATTCAAAGAATTGGGGTCCCCCGCTTTCGGTGTCTTTGTGGGTGAGATGTTATTTTTTATAACATATTGTGTGTAATATAATATGAACATCTTATCATATGTCATTTATTTAGAAAGTAACATTGAAGTTGATTTTTTTAAAGGATGAAAACCCTAATCCTGACTGTTAAATTCTTATGGCCAAAGTTAAAGTTTTTTTTAAATAGAGGTCAACTTCAAGGTCAAGATCAAAGGGTCAAAGTTGTTGATATCCAATGAAAGGTTTTCTCACAAGAATAACATATGTGAAGTATGAAAGCCCTAGCCCTTACTGTTCAAAAGTTATGGTCAAGGTTAAAGTTTTTTCATAAGTACATAAATCTTTAAGGTCAAGGTCAAAAGGTCAAAGTTGTTGATATCCAATGAAAAGACTTGCCACAAAGAATACATATGTGAAATATAAAAATCCTAGTATCTACCGTTCAAAACTTGTGACCAAAGTAAAAGTTTTTTAAAAAAGTTGTTAAAACTCCAAGGTCAAGGTCAAAGGGTAAAAGTTGTTGGTATCCAATCAAAGGTCTTCTCCCAAGGATTACATATGTGAAGTACGAAAGCCTTAGTCTTCGCCGATCAAAAGTTATGGTCAAGGTTAAAGATTTTTCATAAGTACGTAAATCTCCAAAGTGAAGGTCAAAAGGTCAAGGTTGTTGTTATCCAATGAAAGGTCTTGCCACAAACAATACATATGTGAAATATAAAAGTCCTACTACCTACTATTCAAAAGTTATTACCAAAGTAAAAGTTTGGAATTTTTGTGTTAAAGTGGGTCAAACTCCAAGGTCAAGGTCAAAAGGTCAAATTTGGTGGTACCCAAAGAAAGGTCTTGTCACAAGGAATACACATGTGAAATATGAAAGTCATAGCTCCACTAAATCAAAAGTTATGGGCAAGGTTAAAGTTTTTGTGACGGACAGACTGACAGACTGACCGACTGACGGACAGACGGACAGACAGACAGACGAATGAGATTTAATGTCCCCTCGCTTTCGCGAAAGCGGGGGACAATTAATGTACATGTCAAATGTGTGAGTCATATCTCATCTCAATCAAAAGTTATAAGCAAATGCAACATTTTTGAAAAGTAAGTTAGGCTTCAAGGTCAAGGTCACAGAGTAAAAGTCATGATTCATTTGGAAAGATCTTATCACAGGTAATAATATACATGCATTATAATATGAATGCCCTAACTTTTCTCTTTCAAAATGATGAATTTATAACAATCTAATTTTTTTGCAAGTAGGTCAAACTTCTAGGTCATATGTAAAAAAAAAAAACCATGCCATTCTCACAGGTAAATACTAGTACATAAGTTTAATATGAATGCCTTGTCTCTTCTCATTCAGTAGATATGACCGTGATGACCAAGGTTAATTTTATTCAGACAGAAGGACAGTCTGACGTACAAGTGTACATATTTCTATATGAATTGCATGGGTAAAATTGGACCAGTGGTTCTAGAGAAGTTAAAAATGTAAAAAGTTTTCAGACAAACAGATGGACGACATGTCACGACAGACGTTATATGATAAGAAAACCAGAAAAGCTCAAATGAGTGTTTTGAAAGGGTTACAATATGGTTGCAGTATTTGAAAAGCTGTTTTTTCATGCAGAGATATGCATGACCAACATATTCATGTTTTATATTTTCTTTAGTAGTTTGTTTGTTTGTTGTGAATACATCTCTCTCGGGAATTTTTCCCTCATATGGAGACACCACCAAATAATAATAAAGACAAGATGTGTTTGTGATACACTGATGTCCCTGTATGGAAGCCTATGGCGAAGGTTGAAGTTTCTCAAATATATGTCATACTCAAAGGTCAAGGTCAAAGTCTTGTCACAAGGAATGCACATGTGAAATAAGTAATCCCTAGTACTTCCTGTTCAAAAGCTAATTGCCAAGGTTAATTTTTTAAGTGGTTCAAACTCTACGGTCAAGGTCAAACATATTTATACCTGTTGACAGTTCACAATACACATGTTAAGCATGAAAGCCCTAGCACCTACTGATCAAAATTTAGGCCAAGTTTAAAGTTGGGTATTTTCCTTGTAAAAATGTGTATTCTAGGTCAATTAAGTGATCAGAGGTAAAAATTAATGGTACCCAAATAAAAAGTCTTAATCAGGGGCTGACAAATAGATTTTAAAGGCACTTGCCCAAGGGCAAGTACATGGTAAAAATTGACTTGCCCTACCTGAATTTTTGCCTGCCCTACCATTATCTTATACTGTATTTATAAATATATATAAAAAAAATACTGAGTAGAATATTGGCATACATATTGATTTTAATTTTTGATACTTGATTAAGTCACTTGCCCATGGGCAAGTGGTTGATAAATTTCACTTTCCCACCCCTAAAATTCACTAGCCCCAGGCGTCTGGCAATGGGATTTGTCATCCCCTGCTTATAATTGTCACAAGAAATAAACCTACAAAATGTGGAAGCCATTTGTATAGCCCATCCCACTTAAAACTTATAGGCAAGGTTATAATTTCTGCAGACAAATAGACAGACATAATATAAACACAAGAAACAAAATATGTACATAATTAGTCAAATGGAAAAAAATATACTATTTAATTGGAATCACAAAATAGATTGTTATTTCAGGGATAGGGAGTGGGTAGGGAGATTGGACCCCCCCCCTGGAATTTCCTTTGTTATTTAAACAAGACTATATATATACTGAAGCAAATAAAAAATGACTTTGGACATCCTCCCCCTAACTTAGAAAACATTGACCCCACTATCATTGTTATACCCGCACTTTCTAAAGAAAGTTCGGGTATATTGTTGTTACTCATGTCCGTCCGTCCGTCCGTCCGTCCGTCTGTCACACTTTTCTTCCCTGAACTCCTCTTACATTTTACAAAGTAGGCTAATCATCTTTTGGGAGATGGTTGGGGGTGTCATGTAGATGTGCAGTAAGGTTTTGGAATTTTGATTTTGCCCCGGGGGGTCAAATGGGGGTCGAAAAATGACGTTTTTTATGCAAAAAGCCCCGTCTTCCCTGAACTCCTCTTACATTTTACACAGTAGGCTAATCATCTTTTGGGAGATGGTTGGGGGTGTCATGTAGATGTGCAGTAAGGTTTCGGAATTTTGATTTTGCCCCGGGGGGTCAAATGGGGGTCGAAAAATGATGTTTTTTATGCAAAAAGCCCCGTCTTCCCTGAACTCCTCTTACATTTTACACAGTAGGCTAATCATCTTTTGGGAGATAGTTGGGGGTGTCATGTAGATGTGCAGTAAGGTTTCGGAATTTTGATTTTGCTCCGGGGGGTCAAATGGGGGTCGAAAAATGACGTTTTTTTATGCAAAAAGCCCTGTCTTCCCTGAAC